CTTTCCCTTTGACTAAAACATAAATTTCAGTGCAATTTGTACTTCTTTATGCCAGGGCCATATTTGATCCTAAGCTAAGTGTGTTTTCTTTCTTAATTCTTTCTTATTCATGTTAATTTCAGACATTAAATGCAAATATATGAAATACAGTTTTTTGCATGTGTTTACAGTCCATATTCTTGTCCTAGTTAGAAGTTACTTCCAAGTTACTCAAGTTGTACAGTCTTCCCTCCTAACTATTCTGTCTTTTCATTTCACAAAGTAGTGTTAGCCTCAGCAATCTTTAATAAGATAGCTTTCCATGGATGCAATGTTTGCAAAACCAGACTTTAGGCATTAAATGCTCAGAATTCAAAAACAAGTCCAAGCTATATTAGTAGCAGAAAGTGTTCTGTAGTTAGGGAGGAGTGAGAATGAATTTACAGATAACAAATACTGTAAGAAGTACAACACAACATTAGACTGTAAGATTAACAGTAGCTGTGCTTTCAAATTTGGGAAGCAAACAGGCTGAAAACTGCAGCATTGATTCACTAATTGTATGACCTTATTTTATTTGCATTCTTTAGTGACTGCCATCTTCTGGAAGAATCAGATTGGAGGCACTCAAAACCCTTTGGATTTGAAATGGTAAAAAAATATTACCAGCTTTTATTTACCTGTACTGTATACTACAGAATGCTGGCACTGGACATACACAGTCAAATTCTGTGCCATGCCTCCAGGGGGCAGGGACCAGCAGCAATTTAGGGGTAGAGGTTGCATGAAAAAAACTCTTTATGCAGCTAAATAGCTATATAGATAATATGCCAGTAGATGTCACCCAAGAATATGCAATGTCTTCATGGGTTTTGCAAGTCTAATAAAACTTGTGCACTTCAGGTACCTCCTCTGTGTAATTCTACATAGAACCCTTTACCTTTCCCACTTGATCCAAACTGCTGCTCTAGTCATGGGCATGGCTGAGTCTTTGTGGGCTTTTCTAATATTTTTATTCCAGAAAGGACCATAATGAAAAAAGGACAATTATTGACACTACAAAATGTATTAATGTCTTCATTTTCTTTAAATAAAAAAAAAGGTTCCAACAACAGAAGAGGAAAATGGTAATTTGGAAATGAGTTCAAAGCTTGAAGAGATGCAAAAGGGTAAGTACCAGGGACATCTTTGTTAGATCAGAAAATAGATCTTCTCTGTGTAAAACTGATACAATTACTGCTACAGTCACATAGTGATTGCATCCTGTTTTTCAGCTACTAATATGGTATATTTGACTCATCCAACACTGAACTAAAAAATCTGAACGTTATCACAGAACTATGTCATACTTGTGGTTGCTTTTATTAAAAAAAGATTCAGCAGTTATAGCATCCCACTGGTGATTAATCATCTGATTCATCTGTAATGTTTTTTACTGTGCCACTTCCACTCTTTTGGCTATCATGGGATCACATAGTCACTCAAAAAAAATCTGAGAATAATGGCAATCATAAGGACTCCTTTTACCAAGCAGTTTAGAAATACCTGAACACTGCAGCACAATCTTATAAATGTCAGGCAGGTGATGGCTCTAAGTATGTCTTTCTTTTGCTTTATATTTCTTGTTCCTTTGGATGACAATTGGCTTGAAAATATTTTGTAAAGACATGATTCCATTAAATAATCCCTGCATTGCACATTTGATGAGCATTTCTTACTAGTCTGTTTACTGTCTTACAGCTAGATTGTGCCAAGAATAACAAGTGCATGGGATGGTAGGCATTGCATATTCTTTGGTTCCTCTATAGCAGTAGGGTTCAGATGTATTTGCTGCACTTCCTAGAGCCAAGAACATACTCTCTCTATATACTTAATGTATCACAAGATACCCTGAATGGTGTGGAAGGAAGCCCAACCACCTGCTCTATATCCCATCCATTGCAAACATGAACTTTGCTGCACTCCATTAAAAGGTATAGCAGACAGCACAATTCCCACGCATTGCAGGGAGTTCTGAAAGAGTCAGGACTCCCTTGGAGCTTAGCTTTTACAACACAACTCTGCCCTGATCCCATCACAGGGTTGCATTTTAATAGCACAGAGGAGACTTTAGAACATGAGAATAATCCCATTGATTCTACCTTGATTCTTTAGTCTGAGGGAGGAGAATGAGTTTTTTGGTACAATGAACCATCTAGTCCTTAGCTCTTTAGATAGCTATTGAAAGTGGTCACCATTTTAAAAAAGTTTTACTGGTGAGAGACGTGTGTTTTGGATTTTATTTTCAGACACTGAATCCTCCCTGAGCAGTCAGTCCCCCTGTTATTCTCCCAAGCTAACAGAGAGTTGTGTCAATACTGGTTCTGAGATGGTAAGCAACACCTTCTTACCTGTATTATTTATTAATGTTTATATAATGTATGCATTTGACAGAACTCATCAATATGAAGCCTGGATGCCAAAGCACATGGAGAAGAGCGTGCTGCCTAATCTTGTTTTATTGTTTGGCTTGTCTAAAAACTTTACATGTATGAGCAGCCGAAAAAAAAAAAGTGTCTTTTTAAGCTTTATAGGAATATTGAACCATAAGGAATGCTGGTACTATCAGCTTGGTGTTATGCAGTGCATTACATTATTTTCTGGTAAGTAAGCAGAATTTGGCCCCACTGTGTTTTTAACTGCTCTTGAATAAAAAGGGGGCAGGTTTAGACTTTTCATGTTGCTTATCTCTTGTTCCATTATGGAGTTACTGGACTTATGGGCAGCTGTAAGTATCACTAATCTGTTTAAACAGTCAGAAGAGGAGGAACCAGCTGAAAAGAAGAAATGTCTTTATGAGAACTCTTTTCACAGAAACAAAGCCAATCCAAGTGCTGCTTCAACAAACAAAGGCCCAGAGTGCAGCTCTCTCACAGACAGCATGCCTTTCCTTCCAGGCAATAGTTTGGCTGTCAAAGCAGCCAGAATTTCTCAACAGAAAGAGGCTATTTTACAAGCTACACAGGAGGAAAATAAAGGGCTAGCTGTTCTACCTCAGTACAACTCATCACACATAGTACTTAAGCAGGAGGCTTTTAATCACAATGAGAGACATGATGCTTGGTCGCAAACGGAGACCTTTACTGTAGGAGCAGAAAAAATGGATGCTGCCACACAGTGTGCTCTGATACAGGCATGCAGCTGTAGAAACCATCTTTCCTCTGTCCACAGTGCTGAAATGATCACTGGTGTAAACAAAGCAGATACCGCTGGAGGGCAGGAAATCCCAGCAGATGAGGCTCTTCCATTTTCAAGTACAGACAATGCAACAGGTACTACAGAGTTTCCTCCTGAAACTGAGTATCTGACTTTGGCTGACAAGATGACTCTAGATGTTCTGAACTATTTTAATGTAATGACAAAGAGGGAAAAGAGCAACTGAGAGAGATGTGTTAAGCACGTAGAGTGGATGCATCAAAGTGCCCTGTACTCTACAAGTTCTGATCCTTTCGCAGTCTATTATTTCCTTTATTTGTTACATTTATTGTTAACTTGTGTGGGCAAGACTTATTCATTTTTTTAACAAATGATTACTGCAGATGCTAAATGTTTTACTACAGTTCATTGAAAATAATATTTTTAGCTAAAGAAAAAATCTACAATCCAAGTATAACAGTTGTATGAGACTGAGCCTGTTCTTATTGAATTCAGTGGAAAGGCTCCATTTGACATTGAAGGATACATGTCCCTTAAATTAGAAAACAAATATTTTGTGTGCTTATGCACCCATTTAGCCTGAATAGCACATCTATGCTGAAACTGTAAAATGAGATACAAGGGGAATGCACATCTGTGCACACAGAACAAACTGAAATTAGTACTGCATATTCAAGTAAGCAGATTCCCTCTTGAGGCAGTTATGCTAGATTTATACATTCAGTGTAAATGCAGACTCATCTCTTGTTTTGGTAGTTTGTCTGAAAATTAAAATACTGAGTTCTCACCTTTTCTCAATCAGTTCAGTGTTTGTACAATCCACAAATAAATGTTGTAATTCCTATCATGTTGTGCTTATGTTATATACTTCCTTTTAAAACATAGCTGTCAAGAAAGGTGCTTGCAGACTATTCTGGCGCTGAACTCTACTAGTTCCCTAGTATGTGGTTAAGCTCAACTATGTACAGCAAAGACCACCTTCAAGCTGAGTCTCCATTTCTTTTCAAGCACTAGCTCCTGACTGCTTGCAGTAATCCCATTTGTTAAGAAATGGATATGGTCAAAAGATATAGAAGGAGCTGTTCTTTCAACAGTGCAGAGTAAATCCTTCAGTATGACTGTTATGCTGTGGTTTTTCCCTCAGTGATGGGTGTTGAAAGATTCACTGCCCCCACACACCTGCTGAAGTCAGTTTCTTTTATGTCCATGTTTTATGTTCATATGCTTCCATATCTAAAGGGATGGGTGCAGTTCCAGCATTGTTCAAATCCTTTTCCATTACTTTCTTGCCAGTTCCATACCTAAACTATAGGTGGTGATTTCTGCAACATCTTATTTTATAGTTAAGAGGAATTTACATGGAATTCTGAAAAGGCATTGGCAGCACTCAGCAATGAGTGAGTTAAGTTTGGGACATTTCTAAAACAGGGATCCTCAGAAATTTCAGTCAGTCTTTTGGCTAATTGAAAATATTTTCATCACGTTGTATCTTCAAGTCTCAGAGTGGGAAGAAGTTTGCAGAGCCAGGCTTCTAAAACATGCAGCCAGTAATTCAGCCAATGAATAGGAGCTAGAAACAAGCAGATTTTCTTTATTCAGATCACCTCTATTTAATCTCAAAACACATAGGTTCCCTAGTCATGTACTTTGCTGAAACTACAGTGATCATCTTCCTCACAGGGAGCATAATTATCTGAATCATATTTATGATTTGCTAAAAGCTGAGCATCTGAACACATAAGCTGAAAGCTTGTCCCACAGTGAGCTGTCTTTGCCATTATGTAGCAAAAATAACACACACTGAATGCATCGACATGTTGCCCTATGGGGATGTACAGATGCACTGCGTCGCCATATGGTGCGCTACAGCGACATAGCAATCATGTGTATCTACACATGATTGCCAGCTATGTTGCCATAGCAGTGTGCTCCCTGGGTATAGCATGCCGCTATGGCAACAAAATCTAACCGTGCACTGTGCACACAGCACAGTAACCACCTGTACTACGCTATGCTTTAGTACTTCCAAAAGGAAATACTAAAGGAAATACTAAAACACAGTGCCATAGCACCGTTGCTGTACAGTGATGTGTATATGTGCCTACTATCACAAAGAGGGGCCAGGATTGCCTTTAAGGTGAAGACTGCATTTAGCAGTGTTGTACTGGAGACATGACAAGCACACTGCGCTTGCTGCCACACTAACAGTTTTTAGCCTATGATGGCTTGTAAAACAGGTACTTAGAATGATTCCAAATCCAATAGTATTCCAGAAATATAATACACCTGTCTGCAATGTGTCTGCCACCTTTTGCAGTTGTCTGTCAGCATCACTCATCTCATGGGCAGGTGGTAATCCATATATGTTCTTTGGCTTTGCTCTAAGTCTTTTAAACCGTTCCATCTATTCCATGGTATACATAGGGGTGTAGGTTGTAGCCATGCTGGTCTAAGGACACAGGCAGACAAGGTTCTTTGGGTGAATCTGATATCTTTCATTAGACCAACTTAAATAGTTGGAAAACTTCCAGAAATTTAATATATTTCATCTAATGCACCAAGTGCCCCAACGGAAAATACATAGGAGACCATACAACAACTGCTCACCAGAATTAATGCACACAGGAAATCTATCAAAGACAAGAATACCCAATTACTTGTGGGGGCACATTTCTCACAAGAAAGCCACTCTCTCTCCAATCTCTCAGTCCTGATCCTCAAAGGAATCTTACAAAACACTTCCCAGAGACGAGCCTATGAACTCCACTTCATCAGCCTCCTGGATACAAAACATCATGGACTAAATATAGACATTGGATTTATGACACATTATAACCTGCCTGACATCTGACTTCCCAGGTACCTCTCCACTATCTAACTGCTACATTCACCCCCCTTCACCCTCCACCCCCCACCCCCCGCCTCTCTCTCACCCACTGACTCCTCAATTTACATCTTCACTGATTGCCTATCTTACACGCATACCAGCCCAGCCTCTGGCTTCTTTACTATTCATTCCATCCAGGAAGAGCATGCACCAACTGCAGAGACTTCCTCAGCCTGACTAAGGCTTTTTAAACCTGAAAGCTTGCAATAAAAAATTTTTCTACCTATTTAAGTTGGTCTAATAAAAAATATCATAGTCACCCAAAGAACCTTGTCTGCCTATGGTACACATCAGCTACCTGTAAATGATGTACTATGGCCAAGTGCTTATGCATGAAAAATGTTACATTTGGGTGGCTGATTTAACTGGCAGGTGTAAAAATACCATTCGTTGCAGCAAGTATCTAGCGACCACACTTGAACAGATGCTGAAAAGAACAAATTATGCTGACTTAAACTGGCATTTATGTGTAATGAAAAAATCAGGATGACAGCTACCTACTCATGCCATTGAGTCAAGGTGTTGTTTTGGTTTAATTTCTCTAAGAGAGGGACACCCACTTTAAGCCTAACACATATGATCCAGAGAACCAACTTTTCCACAAGAAAGTGCTTTGGTTTGGTTTGGTGCAGCATCTACCCACAAAGGCAAATGCCAAAGGCATGCAATAAAACTGCCAGCATTAGAGACCTGCACATGGTAGCACTAGAAAGGGGCAACACCTGTTCATAAAAATACATGTGATGCAGATATGAGAACTTTGAGATTCTCACAGTCAGGTTAGTAATTCCTGCACCATGTAAATAAATGGAGCCAGATCCTTGACCCTGATGCTGACAATGTAAAGGGGCCATAAAGCTGTCTTGCCTTCCTTTTTGGGGGTTTTCAGTGTAAGGACAGTCACTGGCTTGTGTAGGACAGAAGCCAGTTCCAATGGAGGTCTGAGGGTATGTATATATTGTTTCCTGGTACTCCAGGGAGAACCACTCTGGAGAACATCCCACTCACCCACTTCTCTTTGGAAGCGCTGAACCCGGAACTGAGGCAGTGAAGCTACCTTGGGGCCACAAATCTTAGGCACTGCTCTGAGAAGCAAGGGGCCTACCTCCCACCTCAGCCCCAGAAATAGGAGCCAGAAATAGGTGGGACAGCAGGTAAGCCCCCTATGGAGCCTGATTTAGTAGGCCTTCTCTGAGCATGCCTAGTGCACTTCAGCAGCACTGGTGGGCCCCTCCTTCAAGATTATTTCTGCTTTTTTTCCAGTGCCTGTTTAATTAAATGAATCTTCAATAGCAGGGGTCAAAGCCCCCCCCATCCTTCCTTAATGGTTGGGCCATTCTCCTGTGTATGGGAGAGATGAATCTGAATCCTTTCCAGCAGAGGAGGACCTAGAACCCAGGACTCTCTGACTGGGCAAGCACTCTCATGACAAGACTGTTATATAACACAGAGGGTCCAGCGCCATTCTATGTTCAGTGGTGCTTCCCCTCCTGCCTGCCTCCCATCTCCTCCTGTCCTATTTGCCCCTTCCTTTGCCCACCCTTACTGCTGTCCCTAGCAGTCCCAGAGGTGACCGGAGCCCCAGAGCCACTCCTTCCATGCTCCAGTTGGGTTGCACAGGGAGCTGGGATTATCAGGCGACAACAGTAGTGATGACGGCAGGTGGTTCTCCCTCCTTGTGCCTGGTGGGAAACACTGGAGGGGATGGGGCAGGAAGGATGAGCCTCCCTGATCGTGCTACAGCTGCTGTTCCCAGATGAGACCAGATCCCTGTGCAGCCCACTGTAGCTGGCAGGAGAGACTCTGGAGCTCCCTGCCCCAGGAACACTGAAAGGGGGAGGGGGCAATGGGAGGAGAAGTGCTGCTGAGCATGGAGGGGAAGTGGGGTGGGGGGAGAATCCTTACTTGGTTCAGGGACTTAAAAAAAGGTCCCCAGCTTCTTCTCCTGCAGTGTGGTCTGAACATGGAGTCATGACTACACCACTGGACCCCTCTGGATCTAAGCCTGCACCTGCATCTTTCACTGGATGGCCAATTCCACTTCAGCATCTCTTGTCCAGCTCCTGCTCCCTGTGGCTGAGGAGAAAGTGGATGCAATCAGATCACCCCTGCACTTCAACTATTCCTGAATGCCAAATTATTTTTTGGGCTCATAGGTAGAGGCTCACAACTTAGAACAGACTTGAACCTACTTATAATTGCAACTGGGGGTAAATTAGCTCTAGCATTTGGGGCAGCACATCTTTGTACTCCCTTTATGGTGCAGATTGCTTTGTGGAAATCTTCAGAAATTTAGCTGGAATATATTTATCCAATTAGGTAGGGTTTAGTTTTGATTG